GTTCAGGAAAGTCGATACGATGTCCCCCATCGAAATCACGTAGGAAACCTCCGTACCGAAGCTGAGAAACCACATGCAAAACGCCAGAAAGTAGTCCATCCGGGCCCCCATCGTCACCTTCACCACCTTCTCGTAGCTCCGCAGCCCCGTTCGCTTCCCCGCGATCGCCAGCAGGGTGTAGGAGTACACCGTGAGAAACCCTATAAAGACAAGATACACAAAAGCCATGATGATTCCCGACATTTGGAAGGCTGAGGGGAGGGAAATAATCCCGGCCCCGATCGACGAGCTCGTCAGGCTGAAGCTCGAGGCCATCAACCCGCCGTAGGGGATAAACCTGGTTATAAAGCCCCGAATCCCGCCGGATTGCGCGCGGCGGTTGGCCACACGCATCGCGCGCTCCTCGTCCATCCGCTGAATGTAGGCCTGAGGGCTGTAGTCGTCCTCCCCCATGGCTGATTTGGAATGCCCAATACCATTGAATGCTTCGGTTTGTAGATCGTCCATAATCCCAGACTCAGGATTAAGATCCAAAGTTCTCTCTCTTTCTTCAGATCTTCCGTTGTTATCAGAAGTGAAATTTGACGTCATGTTTAACAAAACTGCAGAAAACACGTTGTGTAAATTAAAAATTAAAAAAATGCTGTCCTTAAACTCTTCTGTTAGTAGGACGATCCGAATAGTACACACCCATCCAATTAAAAATCAAGAGAAAAAAAGAGGAGATAGGGAAAGAACGATGTGGAATAAAATTAAAAAGAATGCGTAAGAAAGCGATAAAATAAAACCGTATCAGGTGGTTTCCTGGGACTATGCGATGACTTCAAAAAGAAAAGTCACTAAAGAGCACTTTTAAGGGTTAAAGGGGAAAAAAACGCAAATCCGCTACCGCAACAAAGCACATTCAAAGTTTATCCCCTTCAGTGTGTGAAAATAACAATAGTAATGAAATTAACAAGTATAACTGCAACAAAGCTTAGGCGTCCCGGTAAAGACCTCAGCGCGATCCTCCGGCTTCGGAGTTTACCCTTCTATTCTATGCTTTATCGCCACGATCGACGCGCCCAGCTCATCCATGGCGTTTAAGATCCGCACGATCTCCTCAACCTCGACGGGTGTGCAGGCGGTGGGGGCTTGAGGCTCCGGAGAGGGTCGCTCGTCATTCGGGTTGAGGTGCCCCTGAGGTGGGATGGGTAGATCCTTCACGGTAAAAAGGGGCTGCCGCGCGCTGGACTGGATGGAGGCCGAGACAAAAAGGAGAAGGTAGGTCAGCGCGTAGGCGTCTGGAGGGCAGTCGAACAGATCCTCCGAAACCGAGAGGTCGGTCTCGCCAAAGGTTCCTTGGCTATCGTAGGCCAGCTGAGCGAGACAGATCAAGGTACTTCGGATCGACTTTAGCGATTTCATGGAATCGGCACACGCCTTCTGAAGTTTAGAAACCTCGCGGAGCGCGACCTCGTGGAAGGCAAAGTCCCCCTCCGCGGAGAGGTCGGCTGTCGTAGGGGCTGAGATATTTTCCATCACAAAAATTTTAGCGGAGATGAGGAGGAACTCCTTGACGTCATGCTCCGCGTCCTCCAGCAGCTCCCTGGCAATTTTCTGCTGGGTTTGGATTAACTCCTCCGGGGTATAACCCTTGCTCTGGGCATCATAGGGGATTCGAATTTTCTCCTGCGTATCCTCGAGGTACCGCTCGACGACGATCCGCGAGGCACCCGAACTCAGGGACGTCGGCGCCAAAACCTCCAGTTCCGCCTGAATGAGCTTTTCAACCCGCCAGATAAACTTACCGATGTTGCAAAAAGACTTCTTTTGGTGATGGTTGGCGAGGATCTCGTCCAAGGTGGGCCACCAATCACTGTCCTTGAGCTTAATATGCACAAGGGAGGGGAAGATCCGGAACAGCCACTTCTGGCGATGCAGCTCGCGGTACTGGACGAGGTCGGAGCAGAGAACCCGATACCACTCCGACTCCGGGTCGACCCTCCCATCGGGGATGAGAAGGTTGTAGTGCGCGAGGAACTTCCCGATCGCGATGGAGGCCTTGGCCTCAGTGAACCTCTCGAAGAAGCGGACGAGCTGCGTCCACCTGCCCTCGGCGGCGCGCCTGAGCTCCTTGAGCATCGCGGCCCGGCTGCGGCCCTGCGGCCAGCTCAGCATCAGCCGGCGCAGGACGCGCTCGTTGAGGACGTCGCCGCCGAGCAGCGTCTCGCAGCGGTCCAACATCGCGGAGATCGCGGACTCCAGCGAGAAGAGGAAGTTGTCGGGCGAGGTGCAGTCGAGCGGGGTGGGGGCCCGCGCGCCGCGCGCGAGGCGCCCCGTCGCGTCCGCCCGC